TGTGTGTGTGTGTGTGTGTGTGTGTGTTAAATGAATTAAAATCAATGGAAGTTTGTGTAAATGTTTAAGATTTTATTTTACTCTGTTGTGAGCTAAAGGGAAAACTATTCCCTCCCTATGTCTCTGAATTTTGCTGGAATGAACTGGCAATGAGATTAATAGAGAAAAAAAAATGTATTAAATGTGTTTTTCTGCACAGAAGTTAATCACAGGAAGATCAGTGCTTCATAGTTCTGCAATCCAGTGAGGTGTAGGTGCTCACGTACCCTTCTCTATGAGGGATGTGTGGCATTCGACAATTTTAAAGGGTAATAAGTGATTTTAGGTGAATGAAAGGACCCAGGGCATTCACAATGTGGTACTGTAAAGATGCACCTCACCACACTGAAGATTGAACTCAGGTACATTCCACCACTGAGCTATAGCCTCAGCTTTTTAAATAATTTTTTTTTATTTTTTAATTTTTTGTTTTTAGTTAATCTCAGGAGATAGCCTAGGCTGGGATCTAATTTGCAGTTGTTTTGTCTCAGCCTCCCAGAGTGCTGAGGTCATGAGGCATGCACTGCCACATCTAGTTATAATGGTTTTCTTTGGAAATCCAGTGGGCCTGGATGACAGAAAATAATTTGTGACAAAGTTGGGTCAGGTGTGGTTACATTCTTTAACCTTCCTTCCTGTAGAAAGGAATGTAGTTCATGAAAACCCAGGAGTGGATCACAGCCAATGTTTTTTCCTCTGGTGGGTTTGGTCCTCGAGCAGATAATGGAATGTCAGGATGAAACCTCTCCTAGCATTCACTGTCTTCCCAGGGCCTTTAACTTAAAATTGTCAGTATACCAAGTTACTGTATTTTGGGATATTATTTTCAGAGCCTCAGAATTACTTAGGAACAAACAATTGGCCTTTAGTGTTTCATGGATACTGACTGTACCCTCAAGACTCTGGGTTCCGAGACAGGCAGTGTGGGCATAAACACATTAATTCATCTCACTTCCCCTCCTGCAGTCCATAGGAGCAACGTGACAGGGTTCAGGTGGATGCCAGCATGTGTTGTAACAGCAGACTGTTGAATTTGGGCACTGTGCTGCTTGTATAGTAAGTGAAAAAGAAGCCTATTTGCTATGCTAGGGAGGCGGGGGGGGGGGGATTTCTTAATCCCTCACGTGTGTGTTTTATAAACAGCCCCAAGAAATGGCTGGAGTAAGGAGGGGTCAGAGCCATGCACTCTTGGCTCACCGAGCAGGACATACGGGTACAAGAGGCCTGTGGGGAAGTGTCTTGGAAATGTGTCAGAAAACTTCTGAGATATTTGCTATATAAAAAGGCAGTCTGGGGCCTGGGGAGATAACTCAGAGTCATAAACACATACCTGGTAAGCACAAGGACCCGAGTTCAATCCCAGGCCCTATATGCCATGTGGTCTCAGTCTCGGATCCCCAGGCACTCACTGTGCCGCCCAGAACCCGGCAGGGTGGTACCTGCCTATAATCCCAGCGCTCGGGAGGTTGAGACCGGAGGATCTCTGCCAGTTTGAGACCAGCCTGCGGGCTATAAAAGTGAGCACAAGGCCAGCCCAAACTGCATAGCGAGACTCTGTCTAAAAAAAAAAGGCAGTTGGTAGTAATATACTGAACAGTCATACCGCTGCCTCCCAGCTGAGAAATAAGTGTTTCCCATAGGGTTGAAGCTTTTGACTGCAGACCCCTTCTTTGACCCCACAGGTAAGCACTTTCCTGGGTCTGTTATCCTATCAGTTCATTCCCATGTATCCCTTAAAATCATAAAATACAATTTTAGTTTTTGGAACCAGGAGTCAAACTCAGGGACTCACACTGCATCCCTGGCATATAGTATTGTTTTGCATATTTACAGACTTCTAGAAAGAATTTTTACTTTCCTTTTAAAAATTATCAAATAATATTTAAATGATGGAACTAAACAAAAAAAGGGGATATAGATGAATGACCATTTTGTATCTGTGTATTCAAAATGGTTAGGATAGTCTGCATCTTGTACAGCAGTTAACCACTAGGAAGAATGTATGGAATGTGTTAATTATTGAAACTGGCCTACCAGTTTGGTTTGAAACTGTCTCATTGCTATTTGTTTCTCAATAAAATCATGGAAAAAAAAAAGCAACAAAATGGTTAGGATAGATATATAGCTACATTCTCTTAGTTCAAGGGAATAGAGGGATTTGTTCTAATAGTGTTTGTAAATAGGATCTCATGTCTGCATTTTGTACGACAAATAACCACTAGGAAGGCAGTATGCAATGTGTTAATTATTGGAACTGTGCTACCAGTTTGATTTGAAACTGTCTCATTGCTATATATTTCTCAATACAATTATAGAAAAAAAAGAACCACATTGAAAAAAAAAAGGAAGAGGAAGAGGAAGGGAATGAAGAGAGAAAGAAAGAGGAGAGAAAGAACAAGCAAGAGAGAGAGAGAGAGAGCGCGAGAGCACTTATTTCTTCATGGTCCCCTCAGGGCTGTACAAAAATAGATATATTATTGTACTAATATTTTATTATATATTAACCATTTTAATTACTCTTCAATGATGAACATTTTCTATATCAAAATATGTTTTTGGTATACATCATTATAACTTACAATAGCTCATTTTCTAAGAAATAAACATGCCAAACATTTAAAAAAAATTATTCAAGAGATTTTACATAGTACCAGTTTTTCGTTTTCTTTTTTCTGGCAAAACTGGGGATTGAACTCAGGCCCTTGCACTTGCCAGGGAAGTGCTTATTCTACTGAGCCATATCCCCGATCCCAGTACCAGTTTTTAGTTGCTGTAGAAAAAACACTGCCGTGATAAAACTCCTGCACATCATATTTTATGTTACAAGGACAAATAAAAACGTTAGTAAGGGCCGGCCAAATAGCTCAGCAGATTGAAGCGCCTGCAAGCAGGCTCAGGGGCCGGGAGTTCAATCCCCCAGCCTGCCCTGCCAGCCCCGCCCCTGGGGCGAGCTGAGACTGCAGTTGAGACTGGGTATGGTGGCGTAGGCCTATACTCCCAGCTCTTGGGAGGCTGTAAACAGGTGTGTCACTACAAGTCTGAGTTAGTAGTGAGACCCTGTAACCCCTCCCTAAAAATACAAATAAATAAATAGTAAAAGGAAGGGAAAAGTAAATACATAAATATGTATAAACTATTAAGATATACACACACACACACACACACACACACACACACACACACACACAAGGGCTAATTATGCAAGGCTGGTGGAAAATAGTAACTGGAAGGCAGCAGTGGAGCTAGTGCGATTCATCTATGTCCTTTGTCCCTGGAGAGGGGGTTATGTTGTGAGAAATGGGTCTTGAGTTGACCCAGCCAAAAGGATGAAGGAAGGGACCTGGGTGCAGTTACTGAGCACGCAGTTAGCTAAGAGGTCGGAAGGTCCGGCCTCCTGCGAGGTAACAATTTTGCCTGGGCAGAATGTCTAAAGGAAGCTCCAGATCTTGGCTTAACATCTAACTGAGCAGGCCTGGTTACCCGTCGGGACAACCACAGATAACCAGGCTTGCCTTTAGTGAGACAAAGTACGTGTAACTGCGGCCAGGAATGGAGAAGGAAAGAGCTCACTGTGTGCCGCAGCAGCTGGGCAGCAGTGGCGCAGGGAGGAGGCTGACAAGCACGCTGGCCTGTGCAGGCCCGAGTCAGGTGGCTTACCGGCCTCCAAGGTCTGGATTTTGTTAATGGCCCTGCCTAGGAGAGGGCCTCGTTTGGGTAAGTGTAGTTGTGTAGTTTCTTCTTTGTGTTTGCTTCACTTTATGCATGGCCCTGGTGGCCTGAAGACAGGCAGAGCCCTTGGGAAGACTGTCTGTAGGTGGTAGTTTGATCTTTGACCACATCAGGAAGGGTGTGTGGAAGGGTGAAGGATTTTATTTTCCCTACTAATGAGCCAGTAATTAGTCTATTATAGGTTAGATTCTAACCTTGTAGGGCTCTCCCTTCTGTTGCTTCAAGTAGGATTTAAAACATATAATGGTTTGCTTTCTCAAATATCCTGGTCTGTTCCCCGCTTCTACTTTTGTCTCTTTTCTTTATTTCTGTCATCGCTGTCTCGCTCAGTTACCCAAACGAGGCCCTTTGCTAGGCACGGATGGGCTGTGGAGAGTTGGTTTCAAGAGTTTAGGGCCAGGCTGCCCCATCGCACTGGAGGCCCCCGTAGTGGCAAAGCTTCCCCGGTGGTTTCTCCTCTCCAGTTGGTCCACATTGCTTTTCATTTAGTACTTACTTGCTTATATTGGGGTTATTCCCTTTTCAGCCTCATCAGATGTCCCTTCTATTCCTCTTCTTTGCTTTCACAGCTGCACAGAACAACTGTATTTATTTATTTACTTTGCACATAGCACTATTGCCAACTCTTTAGCCCAGGCTGTCCCTGAACTCATGGTAGGTAACCTCTGGAGTGCTGGGATTACACAAAGGCACCGCCCCAACTGGCATGTATCTTGATGCTATTGATATTTGTATCTACCTGCTTCCATATAGGGATTTAAGAGGATACTTTGTTTTCTAGTTTTCTTTTAAGTGTTATCTGGGCCTTTTCTGTTGCTGTTTAGAACCCAAAGCCTTCACACTGACACGCATCCCCAAAGCTTTTTAATATTTGAGACTGGGTCTCACTGAGTTGTCCAGGCTGGGCTTGAACTCGGAATCCTTCTACCTCAGCGTCCCAGAGTGCTGGGATACAGGCATGGGCCATCATGACCAGCTCTCCGTTTCTAATGTGGAGATCCAGAAATGGCAAAAGGTCATGTTACCACTGCTACCACCATTTTTGTAGGGTCCCCACTGTAGGACTGTGACAGTCTTAAGTAGAGTGCTAAGTCTCAGCATTGCACATGCTGTAGACTCATAAGTTAGCATCTGTTCTTTAACTTCCTCCTCGAAAGCCAGGAGTACTACTAACTGTAATGTTCATTTAGCAGATGCCCGTAGAAGTAACTTCTTCTTGGTACTCTTTTCAGGTTCACTAAGAATCTTTCTCCAGACAAAATCAACCTGAGTACTCTGAAAGGGGAGGGCCAGTTGACCAACCTGGAGTTGGATGAAGAGGTTCTGCAGAATGTGCTGGAGCTGCCCACCTGGCTAGCCATCACTCGGGTCTACTGCAACAGGGCATCCATCCGGGTGAGAACAGGGTTGGAGCCGTGCTGCTGTCCTTGGCCTGCAGGCCTGCCTTCTGCAGGGCAGCTCCATAGCCCTAAGCTTTTGCTTTTCTCTTTCAGATCCAATGGACGAAGTTGAAGACACACCCAATTTGCTTGGTAATGGCCTTTCTTGATTGCATGTAGTCAGATAGGGCTGGCTGGAGCAGACTTTTAAAGGATAGGAGTCTTGATAAGCTGATCCTTTTGGGAGTGGTGGGTACTTTTTTTTTTTTTTTAGGTTCTTTTT